AGTAATAATACATATAATACAGAAATATTTAAGAAAGGAATATCTCATTGATAATTCTGGAAAACAACAGCTGATCCTGCTAGACTGTATTTTGCCTCTGCATTTTTGGAGCATTTAGCCAACAGGCACAGCAAGGAGACAGCAATCTGGGGTAGGGGGAGATGGGCAGGGAAGAATCATTCTATCTTAAGGCAACAGAAAGTCTGACAACTGATGGAAAAGTTTTAGGAGGGGAGAAAAATACCTGACACAGATTATGCCTCAGATCAGGCTCATTGTTTTCTGTGAACTCAGTATTTCATGTTTTTTACAAATACACTTTAATATATTCATTGTACATCGCACCATATCCTCTCTTCTCTCTGACTTTGCAAAACTCTGCAGCCTTGGGCATGTCAGATGTATCCAGGACACGATGCAGCTGTGACATGCATGGAAGACCTATGTGATGGTCCTGTTTACCCATCATTTACTCACAGAATAGCCTGTAGTGGGCACAGCTAATTAAATTGGAAGAAAAAGTTTCGCTTTCTTGATTTTTTCTCTACTATATCCCAGGGTAAACTTGGCCCTTTGATCTGTGTAGTGCTCATGGTAGTCAGGCTGTTCTTAGACATAAAGGAGAAAAAGAAGCCTGTGTCTTAATGGCCCTGGGCTTGTGCAAAGGAAAGAGGGGTATGCAGGGGCACAGCCAGGAAGTTTCAGCCCAAGATCCAGATCTAGATTGAATTTTTCACATGCTGTGTACATAATTCCCTTTGACTCCTTTAAAAATCCTAGCCCCGTGTCATTTCAGTGCCCTGTCCCTTTACAAATGGCATGGCTCAAAACTCAACCTGATATAATTTAGAACAGCAGCCCAAGTCAGGGCATCTGGAGCTGCTTTTCATTTCCTTTCTGTGGTCCCCTTGATGAGGGACACTGCTGAGTTAATGGGGTTTTCTTCTTTTCTTTCAGGCTTCTCATTCCCCAATTGATCTCATGATTAGTGACATCAAAGTCGCCTCTTAGTGAACCTTGGTGATGACATGACTAGAGGAGGACCCTTAGAGGCAGCAGATTAAGCAGCAAGTTAGCACGACTGGAAGAACAAAGCTCCCATTTTCATTCATATATCCACAATCAAAAATGAGTGAAGAGAAGGAGGGATGGGAATTAGGTGATGCATTAGTAAAATTATCATTCAAAGGTTCTTGGCTCGAAGTTTTGCAAGAGGAATCAGTGGTTCTTTAATCTCCCACCTTGGGTATTGTTGATGCCATGTTATATTCTGGGCATGTCGAAATGTAACACAGTGTAAGGAGACATGATTTGTTGGATAAGGCTTTATGTAGCACAAAAAGACTCCTCTACTTTCCCTTTTTATTATTTACATTCCCACAGAAGGTTATGTGCAATGTGAGCTTTGCAGAGATAAATGGCTAACCTGAGCTTTCTGGCAGCTTCCTCAGAACCTGGAAATGAGCTGCCTAAGTGCTGGCCTGAGGATTCTGAAGACTTGAGCTCAGTTCTGGTCCTGGGAGGAGTTATACGAGAGAACCTGAGGTTGTGAGTCCTTAAGACAGGTTTAGCAGGGCATGGGAAATTGCACCATGGGGCTCTGAAAGAGCAGAGAGAGAAGGACAGCTGGGCACCAGTATAAACCAGTAAGCTGTACTGGGTAGTCCTGAGCTGGTCTGGTCAGGACTGCAGCTATGGGGTGCTGGAAGTCAGGAATGAAGGGAAGCAGCTGAACTGAGTGCAGAGATCTCGACTGGTGCTTTCAGTTGAGCGTGGAGCATGGCAGGCCAGCGCTCTGTCTACTCCTTTCATGAGCTATGTTAATAGCAGTTAGCACAATATTTCCAAAGTAACTGGTTATGCTGTAAAACAGGTTTGGGCCACTCCTGCTGTTTTCCAGGTGTTTCAAGAGTAGCAAGTTTTATGGCCATGTCATCAGCTCTTTGCTCTATTTGCTGCTTCATTAGTTTTCACGCTGGGAGCACTCTGGGGGAGCAGCATTTGGATGTGGGATTTGGCTGTGATGGCTCCTGTGAAGGGAACAGACAGTTAACAAGCTCTGTGGTTTCCTTGCTTGTACAAAGCTTCCTTATGACTCTCCTGTGGGTGGGATGTCAGAGCTGTGGATGTGCTTGGCAGGAGGGGCTCTTTCAAAGGAAACTTTCACTGGAATAGAGAGATTTCCTTGGCTGGACCTGCAGGCAATGGGACCCTCCAGTTATCACCCACAGGAGAACAGTGTAGGTGATCTCTGGTCTCTTTCCCTGCCTTCATGTTTCCTGGGGTTTAAAATCTGGATGCTCCAGGAGCTTTTCCAACATTGAGTCTAAGTAAGACATGCTTGACTTTGATGAGCCTCGAGAGAAACAGCAGAACTCAGGTCTCTGCCAGCCCCGTGCTATTGCAATTAGTAGAATTATGGCAAATTGTCCTGGGTTTTTGACATGAGAAAACTGTTGCTTAGAGGTTTTCTTTTAATTTTTCTTACTTTGACTGAGGAATGAGCCTCTCAATTGAAATGCTGAGCTCTGTACCAATATCCAGAAGAGGTAAGAGTTGTTAAAGCTGTATTCACCAATTGCAAAAAAGAGCACATTTTATTTTGCTCTGTGCTATTTACAGCTGTTGTCCATTAGAAGTCCTCAGGAGCCTCATTCCCAGCTCAAACTGCACAGCCCTGTAAGTTTAGCTCAGCAATGAGCCTGCAAAACAGCACTAAATCATGGTGAATGGGACAAAGGAGAAAATGTTTGGAAATAGCAAAATGCAGCTGATGTCTTTCCGAAATCTGGTTTTTGTTTGTTGCTATTATAAGGCATTACTAAGGTAGATGGTAATGCACAATTAGCTGGAGAAGAATAGAACTAGTGTACTTTAATTTTGGGGGAAAAAAATCAGAATGGCTTGTTCTGCAGGAGCTAAAGGAGTCTTTTGCAGTCCATAAGTGCCTGAGGAATTTACGAGTACACACTGATGAAAATGCACTAATCCCCCTCAGTATGGTGAGGTGTAAGAATGATAAAAGCCTAATATGTGGCTATTGAGAAACAGAGTCCCAGTTGCTTCACTGGACCAGAACAAGATTGCTCTGTATGAACTCTTTGAGCTGGGAGAGCAGTTCACCCTTCTAGTGCCCACCAACTGCTTAAGAGTTGCATGGATGTGGGATTATTTCCAAATCTGAGTGTTTCTCTGTATGATGTGACTAAATTGTGCTGTAAAGTATATACTGAGCAGAACTGTGCATAATATACAGTGAAGGAGAGAAATTAATGCTTATTCCTTGTTTGAATGTGAAATGAGAAATTTCACCTGTATTCCCAGCTCTGACAACAGCCTTTTCTTGGTCAGATGAACAGCTAAACAGCTCTTTAGTACCATCTATATTTTTGGGGATGGTTTTCTACCTCCCTGTTTTATCATGATTGATTAATGATTTGTAAAGCATTTGGAAACTGAAGGATGGCTTTGGGAGCTAAGGGCAAAGGTGTGTAAGGTGCTAATTCAGCATTTATTTACAAGGGCACTCAGCTGATGCCTTTGGTTTTGCATTCTGCCCTGTTGCCTCTCCCAGTTCTGTCACTGGGAGCCTTCAGTTCTGGAAGGGAACGGAGCCTGAGCTCTGACGTTGCCTGATTGAGTGGGACAAACTGCCCTGGCACGGCTGTGATGCCCTGACAGATAAAACTTTCCAGTGAAGTAAATCTGTCAGGCTGACTTGTGATACTGAATGCTCACAAAAGGATCATTTAAAGACAGATAATTGCTTTCTCCTTTCCTTTTATTTTCTGTGTATGGCAGGTGTCTCCTTCTGCCTTCTCCTGTTTCTTTGGCCCATCCCTGAAGTGTGCTCAGCACAGATGGGATCTTCAAAGGATCTGCTGTCAAACTTGGTTTTTTTCTAAGCATATGTATGCTGAGAGTTTTTGGAGACTTGTAACCAGACCAAATGTGTTTAGTGGCTTTTTCACAGGAACAGCAAATAACATATCTGATAACAAGGAAACTTTTGCTGTTAAGTTGCAAGTCTGTTTTGAAATAGGTTCAGCAGAGATTATCAATGAACTGTTTAGTAAAAATTCAATTTACTCTTTGTTTTTTTGTTATTTTTGTGTTGTTTTTTTTTTAAAGCAACACCCTCAAATCCCCTCCCCTTCCTCAGATTGGAACAGTTTATGTTTCCCCTGCATGAAAGTAGTGCTAGAAACAAATGAACTCTTCTAGTTGCAACTTCTGAAAATCAGCCTTTCTAATCTGAGTGAGCATCTAAATTTTATATAAATGAAAAAGTCTTTCCACCAAAAGCAACAGCTTGCCTTAGCTATGTGTGTTGTTACTTCTACCTTTTGTTGTATTGTTATGAAATAATGGTTAGGTTTGAGTACTCAACCTCTGCTGCTCTGGTGAACATATTAGTCCATTTTCTTTAATTATATCAGTTTAGTTCAATTAATTATGATTTTGACCCTACAGCACAAATTATTTCCAGAGATCAGGCAGCTTGCTTGTCCTTGGAGCCCCTTATGGGTGGGCAAATCTGCTTAGATATTTAGAAAGTTCTGAGTTGTTTATAGTGAAATACTGAAAGTGGAGCAGGACCTTAGAAAATTAAATAATTTCTTGCTGCCTTTTAAACCCTAATGGAATTTGATGGGATCAGACTTTCAATAATTGCTAAAAAGTATGGTAAAGCTATTTGGAGAGGCAGTAACCTGCACCTGCAGAATGCTTTCTAATGGTGCATGTAAAGACTTAAGTCATCACAGAATAAGCAGAGAGATTGGGATGAAACAGGCTCTGTGGTGGTTCTGAGGACCAAATCTGTGATCAGCTTATAAATAGCACCTTGAGAAAATATCTGGAGTATCTAGGGATGCATTTTCCTTTGAATGAGTTTTGGATTGTTACCTAAGTTCAAAAGGAATAAAATCCACTTGCAAAATCTTACTCTCAAAGAAAAGCCCTGCTTAGTTTAGGGGTGTTTTTGTTTTGTTTTGCAGGCAGCCGTCCCTACGTGTTCCTCACAGCCCGTGTTCACCCTGGTGAGAGCAACGCCAGCTGGGTGATGAAGGGGACCCTGGAGTTCCTGGTGAGCAGTGATCCCATTGCTGAGCTCCTGAGGAAATGTTTCATCTTCAAGATTGTGCCCATGCTTAATCCTGATGGAGTCATCAATGGCAAGTGAGTTGTGAGGTTCTGATTCTGGGCTTTGTCTGTGCACCCAGCAGGTCTCACCTTCAACGTTTGTGCTGGGAGAATTCCCTTTGCCCCGTGTTTTATTCATCCTGTTATCAGTCCTGTATGGAAAATGGGAATCTGAGACATGGCCTGGAGTGCTCTCCTGCATTGGTCAGGTGTGTGTGGTTCTGCACTGTCTGTGGCCACAAGATCTTGCAATTCCCTGGAAGGAGTATTAGTGGTGCTGGGGACACAGGATCTTTACTGACAAACAGAGGTTTATCCATTCTGCTAAAACAGCAGGGCAGAATACAGCTGCAAAGCAGATATGCTTGGGAAAAACTGGCTGTAATTAATGCTTTGTATAACCTGGTGGGGGGGAGGATGAATAAGGATTTCTTAAATTTTCACAGAAATATTTCTGTATAGTGAACCTTCTTCCTTCTCCCACCTTCTTTTCAATCTTCCTTCCCACGTTTCCTAAGAGATGCTGAATCTGATCTTGGAAAATATTGATTCCTTTTTGCATTCTTTACCTTATACCCTCCCTCTCCACCCACACTAACTTCCCTCTCCCTGTACATGACTGGAAAAAGGTACAACTCTGCTTCTAATATGTTGAGCTGCAATAAATGTTGTGGGAAGCCTTGAAGAGGCACTAAGCTAAGGTGGGCTTGCACTTTGCTGGAAAACATATCTCCTCCTCTCTGTGGACAGTGGACTTTGGGTGTTTGTGGAGTGGCAGTGAGTTAATAACTGCTGGTCCTGCCCAATGCAAGAGCAGGATATCATGATCAAGTTCCACCAGTGGCTGCTGTCCTGACCTAACATGGGGCCTTGCAGGGTTTGCAACAACTGTGTCCCCAGCTTATTGCAGCTGACAAGTTAAAGAGCTGAAATGTGGGCTGAAACAAGCACTAGAACACAACAAAGCTTAGAGGAACAACTTTCCTTAAGCTACAGTCCCACACCTGCATTGGGGCTGGGTTGTGCTGAGTGTTGCAGGAACAGGAAAGCAAATCCTGAGTAACAACTGCATTGAGCTGGGTTTCAAACTCATTTGAGTTTGGGGTGAGTGCTTCACCAGGGAGCACCTTGGGCTTTTCTGACAGTCTCTAGTGTGTTAAGTCACAGCTTTTGGGCTGCTGTGCTCCCCAGGGCCTGGGTCTGCCAGAACTGTTCAGAATAGCTGGGTACTGCCCCAGGGTATTCAAAGCCTCTCTTGGCACCAAATGCTTTCTTGATCCTCACAGACAGAAAGAAAAAGAAAAACAATTCTTGTTTTTCTTCAAAAAATGTCTTTTCCCCGTTATTTTTTCCTCTCAGTACACTTAGTTAAATTTCCCATCAGATGCAGGAGTGAAGGGAATGGCTGACCTTTTCCTCCAGCTGTCATGATCAAGTGTAGCAGAGAAGGGACCTTCAGGAGGGAGAATGTGGCTCTTGGTGACCCCTGAATGAAGGGTATGGCCCAGGCCTGTGTCACACAGGAGGGAATTTTGTGTTCTGTGGTGCAGATGAACTTGAACAGTTGTTAAATCTGGTGATGAGGACAAGTTTTACTGAATCTTAAATGGATAGGACCAGGAAAACAAGGACTTGGCCACGTCTCCTTTACTGATCATGAGGCCTGTGGAGGGGATTAAACAATTCCTTCATGCTTTTAATTAAAAAAATCTCTCTTGTGAAGCCTCCTATGGCCCACATATCCTTGTTTCTTTATATCTATGCTTTTTAGTAGCCTTGGTGCCTTCTATATTAAATAAATAGTTTTGTTCTGGCCCTCAGGTTTACTGGTAGCATGCAAGAGTGTGTGTGGGTATGTAAGAGCTTGTGGGAGTGTGCAAGAGTTTCCACATTCTTCCTCTTCCTTTACCTGATTTTAATGTTTCCTTTTTCTCTTCATCTGATTCCCATTTCTCACTCTTCCCTCCTGTTGAATCAAAGAGGCTTTTCATTGAAAAGAACTTGATGAATTTTGTAAATTAATGAAGCAATGACTGGAGATGGGAGCTGGTGAGTCTTTTTTAGATGAAGGGAATTTATTGGAAGCTGCATGATTTCTTCAAAGCCATGGGGTAACCTTACTAGCAGCTAGGTAGAGGAAATCCTGATTTTTCATTTGGAATATAGTTGTGGACTAATTTTTATCTGTTCTAAAAACATCCTCTTCCCTCCTGCACCTGCCCTCCCCCAGCACAGGCTGAGTAAGCTTTGCTTCTCCAAGGGAGGCAGGTAAGGTTTTCTATCCCTCCATTGATGCTACCCCCACTTTAATTTATCTTGTTTCTTGTTTACTCAGGGGCTTTGTTCATTACCTCCTCGAACCTATCAGAGAAAAGCTTCATTTTTTTTGACAATTACTGAAATAAAGAGAGAAATGCCCACTAAAACGCCTTCTAGAACAGTTTTCTTCTGCACACTCTCAAAAACTACAAAGGAAAACAGGAGTGTGCTCCCAGTTAACCTTTGGAACCTGGTGCCTTCTGTTTGGAAGGATGATCTTAAAAGGAGAAGAAGCAGCACATTTGTTTCTATACCCAAACACACTATTTGTATAAATGACCTTTTTCTCTCCTGTATTAATGCTTACTCTCCTGAATGGACACATCATGTTCCCTGGGCAATAAGAGGCAGAAAGGATCAGGGATAGGAAAAAAAAAGCTAATGGCTGGTCTGAGGAGTCAGTTTGTGATGCTGAGCTGCATCCTTAAGGACTAAATCTTGAGGTGATGTCACACAAAGCTGTACTGCAGACATCCCCCCTTCTCTTTATTGCTTCTCTGTGGTCAGAGGGTTGAAGGAGAAGTTTAATTCTAAATTGGTGCCATGCACTCTGCAAACACACTCCAAAGGCTCTCTCCAGACTGGTTAATCTGTGATGTGTCTGTTCCTCTAAGGATAGCTCAGAGATGTGAGAAGGCTGGGAAAGGAGTGGTTTGGAATTAAAGGAATCTCTCTCTAGGAGAGAAGTGCTACAGGAGTCTTGTGCTGCTCTTTGACGTGCTCTATGAGTCTGTCCCCATGTTTTCTTCAGAAGTTCTGCACCTAAATTGTCACCACCTTGCCAGAAGTAGTTGGGTAGGCATATGTGGAGGGCAAGGCATACTTGGATAAAAAATGAGCATCTTGTAAATTGTGAAAGACTCAACCCTCAGTACACTGCTGTGCTCTGAGACACATGGAATGGTGGCAAGAGTGTGCACTGGTGCTTTCCTTAAAACCTCAGAGATGACAAAGGTGCAAGTTCTGTGAATGTCTGTACTGGAATGCTTGGTGGCTCTGGGAGGTGTAGATGAAGGGTCAGCTAATTTTCCTTGATTGGAGCAGAATTTTTTACAGCTCTTGGCTGCTTTGGAGCCTTGGGTGTTGCTTCTGTTGCCTTCCTCTGAGAGGGCAGTGATGAGTTTGAGAGCTTAGGGTACCAAATGTGGCTAGTGCCTGCACAGCACGAGATAAAATATGAGCTGCAGTATTTCTTAGCTCTCATTTCTGTGAATTGTTCCTTGGTGGAACAACCAGAAATGGTATCTGGCCCTGCACCACACACTTGTCTGGGTTCCTCTCTGCTGTGGAAGGTGCCCCAGTTTCATCCAAGGCCCTTTATGCTGTGCTGATGTGACAGCCCATCCTTGGCTCTCCTGTGATGAACGTGCCCCTGCAGACAGCTGCACCCCAGGACTCTCCCTTCTGACAGCACTTCCAGTGCAGGATTGTTTATTCCTTCCTTTATCAGCCAGGGCTGCTGGGCCCCCTGAGTTATTAGCTCTATTCATTCATTGTCAGTGTTTCCTCCTTCGTAAATATGCCCCCATATGTCTCTGCTCCCGAGGAATATGCTTTCTTTTCTATTTACTGCTTTTCCCAGGCCCCCACCTCCTCATTGCTCTCTCCACCCAACGGCCCAATAACAGCCAAGGAGATAAATAAGCTCCATAACTCTTCCCAGCTATTATTTTTTGTTGTTGTTGTTGTTGCCCTGCATGGTAATATATATAATAACAAGGAAACAAATCTTATTACTAAAGTAATTACAATAAATAAAAAGCTGAGAGGGGAGATGGAGGAAGGGTCTGTCAGGGGAGTGATTGCAGTAGGATTTTTTAAAATTTAATTTACTTGAGATGTTCTCTGCCACTTTGCTGATACCCTGCTGAGGGGGGCTGTGACTAATTAGCAGCCAGCTGTTGTTTTAACACCCTCACCTAATTTATAGTGTGCCTGAGCCTCTAAAAGAGGATCCTGTGCGATATCATTGTCTGTGGGACTCAGCACCAGCCTTGTGTCAGTAGTTGGCTTTATTGCTTGGTGGTTTTGTTTCTCAGAAGCTGTATAGCTGGAATTTTGGGTGCTTTGCTACAATTCCTTTTATCTTCAGCATATCCCATGTGCTTTCAGGAGTTTGACCCAGAGAATGAACACAATTTGTTGCTTATAACTGCTTGTCCCAATGTCCAGCCTAATAACTGACCAACACAACTGCTGCTTTTTGACTAAGAAGTGTGGTGTGGGCAGGATCTAGGGTTTGTTTAAATTCAGGGGGCCTCATTCCTATGTTGGCAGGTTTCACATGGAAGCACCATATTTTTCTTGCTAATAGAATGGAGACTGCAATAACATCTGTCTTCTAAATGGTCATGAAATCTAATTAGTTAATGGCCAAATTAAAAACTGGAGGATCCAAGGCATTGTTCCGTGTTTCATCAGTCCCCCAGCTGCCAATTGCTAAAGCGTGTGCAGTCTTTGTAAGCTCTGAAACAGTAAAGGTGCCCAATGAGTTGTGTGTGTGTCCCTGTGCTCTTTCCTGTACAATTCATGCTGCTGATGCAAGGTCACCTGGAAATTTTACTACAAAAATCACTGGGTGTGGGCTCAGTTACTGCCTTGGACTACTACAGAAAGGAATCCCTTTGTTCTGCATTCGTGTCTGTTTTCCTAACTGATGATGTGAGTTTATAATCAGATGTGTGCACTCCTTTGAAGACATTTTCAGGAGCCAGGAGACTGGTGAACAAAGCTAGCTTTTAGTAAAGTTAATGAGATGATTGAATTATATTATAATTCTTGTTAGCTTGATTGTGTGTCATTATCCCTTTTGTTTGTTATTGTGCTTATTTGAGTCCCATTTGAGGGATATTATTCCCATCACAATTGTGCCCGTGCTGGGCTCTGTGGAGAGACAGGCAAGGAGCAGCTGGTGCCTTGTTAGGGCCTGGTGCATTATTGCCACAGGCTGTGCAGTGAGGGATTGGTGGGAATGAAGAGGATGCTGGGCTGTTGGCTCCATGCAGCCTGACCCAGCATCTCAGCCCTGGCACTTCATGGAGCCCCGAGCTGTGTAGTTGCAGCTCTTCTTCAGGTTTACATCCTGGCACAGGGAAAGCATCCTGCTGCAATGACTTCTACAACCACCTGATGAGAGTTTGTGAAGGATACCTCAGTATCACCAGTGCAGGAATTGGGGAAAGGTATTAAAAACCAGGAGTCTCTCCATACCTTTTTTTTGGGATTTCCAGGACATACATGCAAACCCTGGCCCGACTGGCTGCATGAGCTAATTTACACTGAGGTGTAATTGCTGCTGAACTTGGATGGTACCTTGGAGCTGATTGTGGTAGACATCAAACACCAATGTCAAAGCTGAATACTTTGGAATTGAACTAATATCACAAGTAAAGGGGCTCTTTTGAGCATCCATCTGAAGATCAAGTCTGTTTACCTGAGTTAAAAACTGTTGGAAGCTACAGATGTAGAGATGGAGTTGTTATTCATAGGATGGGAAAGAGAAGTCCACAAAATGAAATTGTAAAAACTTCACTTTTATAGATGCAATGAAGAATGTCCAGTACTTTACTGCAATATCCACACTACCTGGAAAGCTGAAATTGCCTGGGAATGAAGGTTATTGTCTCCTGTAATATACCTTCATATATTACCCTGTGTAATAAATCAGGCAGTTTCTTTCGCCATGAAAACTGGACATCCCTGGAGTTCCAAGTGACATTTCTCATTTTATGTGGCTATTTGGCCCTTTTAAGTATTAAAACACATAATTTTTTTGTGAAATACGCACTGAAATTTTTGAAAGCTTATGAACAAAAAAAATCAGGAGCTTAGGTTTGCAAGTGTAAAGCTGATTTTCCATGACTTTGCTTTTGAAAAATTCTGTGCTGGGTTAGCTATGTGTTTTGGTTAATATTGTTCTTTAACTTTCTTATTTATTTGTGTATTTCTCTCTCACTTTTCCCCTTCCCTCTCTTTGGAATCTGTTATTCAATGTAGCATTAAAAGCTGGCAAAATACTGTGATAGGAGAGGGGATGTAAAATGACCTTGGGTTGGGGAAACAGACTGGCAAGTGGAAATGGTGTTTGTAGAAAAGTGATGAAGAGCCTTATCTACAAAAATAAGCTTCATTTGAGAGCTCATGTTTTCAAAATTGCTGTGCAAAAATGTACCTACAGAGGTCCAGCTGAAGTTGAATTGTTTACCTGTGCACATGGCTTGTGTGATTGCACATGCAATTGGGTAATTACACAGACAAAATTTGCTCCAGTGGTTTCAGCAAATTGCCATCCTAATTTTATAAACCCAGCTGAATGTCCCACAGAAGCATCGAGAAAATAAAAAACAGAAAATTGAGTCAATACTGCAATGAGAGGGTGAGAAATCAAAACCTTCTCTGCAGCCTAAATGAGCAGCACTGCTGGGAGTCAGGAAAAAGGTGCAGCACAGTTTTAATCCTGCAAAATAGCTCAGAGTCTTGAAGGGGTAGAAAAACAAGGGCTCTTGAAGTTGTATAGCTCAAGTTTGAGCCAAGGGGAGAAAATACAGAAGCAGGGGCTGACAGTGGCAGGGAAAAGAGCTGCAGTGGTGGTGCACCTTGGGTCTGTGCACACAGCTCTGAAGTTAGTGTTTGGACACATCCTACTCCAGGATACCATAACCTTGGTAAGGACTCTCAGGTAACTGTGCTGGTGTTTTCTGTGTGGAAATAGGGGTGATTTATGATGTAAAATTCCTTGGAAATTATGCTATATTCAGGGTTGTGCATAAGTGAGAAACATTTCCACAGTGTTTTAGAACTGGCTAATTGAATTTAACCAGTGGTTGTGTCATTTAAAATTGTTATATGTTGCATGCTATCTCTCAGGATCCTTCAGTATCTGGGAAAGCAGAACACAGAGAAGTGGTAGTGGACAATGTAGTCTAGATCCTAATTCACCTTTTTGATTGCTCTTGTTTGTCTGCCACAAATAACAAAGACTTAAGGACTCCCATCAGCTGGAGAAGAGCTGCTATATTCTACTCTGCATGTATATATGTATATGTCATAGAATTCCAATAGGAAAAAGGATTTATTGCTAAACATACAGACATAATTCCTAATCAGGTCAGTAATGCAGTTTTGTGGTTTTGTTGGGAGGGGTTTTTTTAAGTTATGAGGCAGTAACAAGGTGTAAGTGTGAGAGTTCTTTCCAGCTGCATTCCACGACAACATGTAGCAGTTTCCTTCCCTGTTTCACATGTCCCATTTTTCTCCCAAAATGCTCATAAGCTCAGGTTTTAAAGGAGAGGGAAGTACCAGTCCTCCCAGGGACCCTGGCTCTCGTGGAGCACTGCCTAAAGCAGAAGTTTGGTTCTCAGTTCTAGCTCTGGTCTGTGGTGTCTTCTGCCAGCAGTAACAGGAATGGCATTAATGAAAACATACTTCATGAGGAATATTTCCTGTATTCACTGTCTGTTGGATAACAAAAGGTCATTAGCATAAAAACAAAAGGCAAAGATTAAAAAAGTGATGATTTTTCTGTCTTCCCTCTAACAGTTATGGCACATAAGAGGATGTAAAGTGCAAAGGAGCTGAACACTCATAAACTATTTTAATACCATTCAGAAATGAGAAGAACCAGGGAAAGAGGCTTTATGTAGCCACATAGTTTATTGCACTAATCAGTCATTTCTACAGTGCACTATCATGACTTGAAGTCCTTGCTCCAGTGATGTGAAAAAAAATTGGTGATCTCCCATCCAATTTTCTAACAGATCTTGGTCTATATAATCAAAATCTCTAGCACCTCGTTTGAGTAGCAGTGAATTCTATGCTTAGATGGATATAATGTTAGCCAAAGCAGGGCTGGATTACATCTGTGAGAGCAGAGAGGTGACACAAGGTCTGAACGTGAAGTAGAAGGAGCTGTGGGAGATTAGGACTAAGCTATACTTCTCATGGATATTTTTAGATGACAAAAATAACATATTTTGGGTTATACTGAGATCTCTGGAAAGGCAGCTGACACTTTGTGGGTTGAACCATCTGCATGGAATAGCCAAACCAAAGTCTGCAGATTTACCTGTCAAGTGTCCTGCTGTAAACCCATGTAGAGGCTGAGCCTGGCAATTCAAGGACAGCGAGAGAACAGTTGTTTTCCCCTCCAGAACATTCATGTTACATAAAAGAGAGTTTGCTTTTGAATAACTTCATTGTCTGGTCTTGTGCACATGCACATGGATTTCAGGTTGAGAACAGCTAAGTGTTTGAAGTCACAATAATTTCTGTTGCTTTCCCTGACATGCAGGTGAGGGCACCCTTGAACTGTGCTACTTCTCTGTCTATCTTTAGACAGCTTTGAATGGGATGTAATCCCATCCAGCATGTAGTCTATTCAAAAATCAAATAGTGTCCCTATCAATGGCTTTGAGCTTTCAGGCTCATAACAGTGATACAGCTGGGAATGTAAATAAAAAGGAGAACATTAAGAAAAAGACTCTGTTGCTGTAAACAGTAGAAATACTTCAAATCAAGTGTATCTTTTCATTACACAATTTCTTATCAAAACAAAAGCCCAGCTCACGGCTGTTATTTATCACAGAATAACAGAATATGCCAAGAAGGTCCCATAAGGATCATTGAGTCCAGCTCCTGGCCCTGCACAGGACACTCCAAGGGTCACAGCATGTACCAAAGAGTATTGTCCAAATGCTTCTTGAACTCTGTCAGGCTGGTGCTGTGACCAATTCCCTGGGGAGCCTGTTCAGGTGCCCAGCCCCTCTCTGGGTAAGAATGTTTTCCTGTTATCTGACCCAAACCTGTGACACTGACAGACCTGTAGTTTCTGGGGTCCTTCTTGCCCTTCCTGAAAACTGGGACAATTTTTTGCTAGCTTCCAGTCATCTGGAACCTCTCTGGATTCCCAAGACTACTCAAAAATCATTGAGAAGGGTTTTCCAATATCAGTAGCTCTTTGAAGATCTCCAGATGAATCCCATCAGGCCCCATAGATTGTAGAGATCCAGCTGGAGAAGGAGATCCCACACAATTTCGGAGTCCACCTGGAGTGGCTCATTCTCTAATGAACTGTCTTTGACAGTGTTAATTGCTCTCTCTCTGTTTTAACTGATGAGTGTCTGTTCTGACAGTGTGGACTGATGACAGAAGTTTATTTGTTATATCTTTGCTCTCAAAGTGCCATAACAAAGCACCTGCTTTATTTTCAGGCGTTGCTTTCTGCCCCTCCTTTGGACTTGGCTCTTTCATAACTGATGGACCCATTTTCTTGTGAATGTTGTGGGTTTCTGGTTTCAGGCCATTGGGTAGAAATTGTGACAACCAGGTCTGCAGCAGATGTTGCAAAGCACAGAAAATAAATCACTTAGGTGCAATCAACCCCCTTCTGTTTTGTGTTTTTCCCTGAGTATTTTATTAATCTCTGAGAAACACATGTGGCAGCTCCAAAACCATCATTTTCCATGCAGTCTCAGATTGAGCTGGTCCCTAAAGAGCAGATATCTAATTCTCCACAAACTAGATATGGTGCAGGTACAACTCTGTCATTGCTAATTCTTGCTTAAAACTCATGGAAACCTAAATAAGGAGTTAGATTTGAGGTTTGCCAAAAACTCTGAGGTCCAAATGATACAGTATTCTATGCATGTAAATGCATATATAATGCTAATAGAAACCATTTTGATCCAGATTGCCAGGATTGAAAGGATGCAGTTGTGCTTGAAAAACAGATATATGTGTGCATGCACAATTACTCAAGCTGGGGTTTAGGCATTTAAGTGGCCATTTGTGCTCTCATTTTCAATTATGATGTTCATCCTACGAGAATGGGTTTGTGCAAATCAGCAACACAAATATGCATATGTTTTGGTGTGTGCTACCCTAAAGACATGTTGCATTACTTGGACATAAACTTGGATTGATTTCTCTTCTTTTCCCTTTGAAATTTCTATTTTAATCTGAGGAGTGTGAGCTGTGGTGGCTGAATGGCAGATCTTCAGCAGCATGATTTCCTTTTCCAAATGGTTAACTCTTGTAATTGTTTCTGTAATGTAAGATAATATTTCCCACTAACAGTTATTTAGGATACTGTCACGGCAAGCCATAATTCAACCCCATTGCCTAGTGGCCCAAATAATGACCAAGGCTTGCCCCTAGCTGAATTATCATTCTTATGCTCCCTCCTTCCCTACATGCACATAAACAAGTCTGTCTTTATGCCAAACTCTGAAAGACAAAGGAAAGCAGAAGCAATCTTGTTGATTCAAAGCTCCATTCTGCAGCTTCAGGGAGTGAGCTGCCTATAGGACTACAAAGGCCTTTAAAGGATTTTTTAGTGACTTAGCTCATAGGCTTTCTGGAGGCTCAATAGGCTCTTATTTTTTCACATTTTTAATATATCTATATAGAGTATCTACTGCAAATATTCAAGAGAGGATGAAGATATCCAATCTGACACAGAAATGGAAGGCTATTAGGCTGAAGCTAAACTGCTCAAAGATCT